AGTGGACATCCCCCGAGGGCTGCCAGGCTGCCAGAGGGATGTCTGATTGCCATCTTAGGCCCAATCCCCCAGGGAGCAGGCCTAAACCAGCAGGTGGTCATCCCCTGAGGGGGTCCCAGACTGCGAGAGGGCACAGGCCTGGCTGAGGGACTCCCCTCCCCACCGAGTGCACAAATTTTTGTGCACCTGGCCTCTAGTTTACAAGATTAAAAAAATAAAAATAAAAACTGCTATAAAAACTAATTGTTAAACCAAAGCTTTATATGCTCTGGCAAGTAATAAAGCCGTTTCTAAAAATAAAAATAAAAAATAAACGCTCCTGGTCTTGGCTTCAAATAAGATCTCAGTAAGAACTAGTCCAGATTGCAATGCCAGGGCTTGCTGCTTCAGAAAACTCTAAGGCCAGTTAATTCAGGCATGCTCTCCACTTCTCCTTGGCATCCCAGCCTCTTCTCTTCCAGGAATTTCTTACTGCCCTCCTGGAATCCCATTCATGATCTAAGTATTCTTAAACAACATGAAAAAAAGTCTGCATCAATGCCTCTCAAACCTTTGGGGCACCAACATCAACTATAGTGCTAATTAAAACATATTCCTGGCCTCCCAGACTACCTGGACTGGGGTAGATCTGGGAATTTTCCTTTTGAACAAGTCCCCAAAAGATGCTAATACTGTGGGGACCACACTTGGAGAACTGCTGCTCTAATCTCTAGCCTCTTACTGGAGTCTTCCCCCACTTCTTGCTTTAACTGGGATCTGGGCAGCCCCTGCAAGTTAACTACTATCCCCTACTCCCTCATCTCGACTTCTCTGTCTTCTGTTTCTGGCCTAGATACTAGAGTGCATCACTTAAGCCTGTCATCACTCTTGACATATGGGCCTTTTTTATTGAATTCATTGGCATGACATCTATAATAAAAGCATAAATGCTAATTAGACCAGACATCCTTCTGGATGTCCTTCCGTCCAATGAGTGCATGAATAAGTGGAACAAGTCAATGTCTCTTTCTTCTTTCCCTCCCCCGCCTCCTCTCCCTTTCTCCTTATCTTCCTCTCTCCCTTCTTCCCTCCCTCCTTTCCTTTGTCTTTATTAATAAAAAAGTCATGCCCTAACTGGTTTGGCTCAGTGGATAGAGCGTCAGCCTGCGGACTCAAGGGTCCCAGGTTCAATTCCGGTCAAGGGCATGTACCTTGGTTGCGGGCACATCCGTAGCACATCTGTTTCTAACTCTACCCCTCTCCCTCTCTGTAAAAAAATCAATAAAATATATATTTTTTAAAGTCAATAAAAGTTATATAGCCTTAGTCAGTTTGTTCAGTGGATAGAGTTGGGCCTTCGGACCAAAGGGTCCAGGGTTCGATTCTGGTCAAGGGCACATACCCTTGCAGGCTCCTCCCCGGCATGGGCCCTGGTCTGGGCTCTTGCAGGAGTCAACCAATCAATGTGTTTCTCTCACACCAGAGTTTCTCTGTCTTTCCCTCTATTCCACTCTCCCTAAAAATCAATGGAAAAATATCCTCGGGTGAGGATTGACAACAAAAAAGCTCTGGGGTAGGTAAACACATGGAGTGCTGGAAGACGTATATGCCTGGAGCAGGCATGGAAACTCCACACCCTTTCCCCATACCTTGCCCTATGCATCTCTTCCACTTTTAATTTAGTTTGCGTACCAGGATCTGCTTCAGCAAAACCAAACCCAAGAAAAGGGACACGGGAACCTCCAAGCTATAGCCAGTCTGTCAGAAGCATGGTGATAACCTGGGCATGTGAGTGGGCCTGTAGGGTGTTGGGCAGTCCTGTAGGACTGAGCCCTTAACCTGTGGGATGTGAGCTCAGACAACATTGGGTACTCACATGCTCATATCCCCGCTGCAAACACTCCTCATGGCTCTCCCATCACACCCCACATGTGCAACACCACTTCCTGCTTTTCCAAGTAAGTCCTCATTAACCTTTTTGGCATCTAGTGAGACTTAACCTACACCATTTATTGGAAGGTTGGCCCTACAAATTGACCAAGTGACTGTCTATGTATTTGTATCAAGACTGTTCCTTTAAAACTTCCTTTCTAGGAGCAGGCACTGGATGGAAGTCCATGGCACTAGATGAACAGTGCTATTATCCAGGACCTGCTATGTGCCTGGTCCCCGTCTATTAAAATGAGCAAGACACTCTATTCCTTATCTAAGGGTCCCTGGAAATTTTAAGACAGAAGCACACACAAATGACCCAAATCTATAGTTGTGCTATCACAAACATGGAATTCAATTTACTTTTATAACATCAAATTCACTCCAAAGACTTCACTTGTGTTTCTGGAACAGCTTTATTAGTTGAAATTAAGACATCACATGTTCTAGCCCATCGTGATACACTTAGTTCTTTGTAGCTGGAACTCAGTAATTTGTTTTCTAGGAATGGAATACACACCCTAGCCAGAGGAAAGAATGTACTGAAGGGTCCAAGGTTCGATTCCAGTCAAGGCCATGTACCTCAGTTGCAGATCGGCCCTGGCTGGGGCATGTGCAGAGGCAACCAAACCATGTGTCTGTCTTCCTTCCACTCTCTCTAAAAATCAATCGAAAAATATTCTTAGATGAGGATTAACCAAAAAAGAGGAATACAGAGAATCATTACCCATTTTTCCTTTCTACCTTTAGGATAAAACCAAGGCTCTTGACATTTTGCCTGTGCTTAGTTATCAGTCTTTCCTTTATGCCACTGCGGGCAGGATGTCCTTAGATGTCTGTAAGCAACTGAACCGACATCCCAGGACTAGGTGCTGGAGGAATGGCAGGGATACTCAATGTCAAGGCTCAGTGTAAAG